TTATAGCTTGTAGTAGTTCTGGTGGTACATTAGGCGTTAATGTTGCTTCGGAGGTGATAAATATTGATTTAAGTTCTGGTTCTTTTATATTAATAAATAATAATACGAGTAATTGAGTATAGAAGTCACACAAAATTACAACAGTAATTGGCTAACCAATCAAGTTTGCGTGATATTTTCATAAACATTTACCGTGGTTTAATAGTAATTCGTATAAGTCAGAAGTCACATATAATTCCACATTAGCTTCTAGTGAGCTTTTAATTACTCTTAAATTGATCGGTTAAGAATCCGCAATTTGAAACATGAATAAGATTTTACGTGATTTTACATTATTTGTTATGAAATATAAATATATAATTTAACTTACTTATCCTTCCTAGCCACCTCTAATAGCTGATTCACTTCATTTCTCAATGATTTCAAAATATTCCACTCTTTTTGAATCGCTTGGTTATCCCATTTCTTATTCTACAACGAAAAATATTTAGCAATTTATAATAATTTACTTAATACACGGGGTGAGTCAGTAGAAACGCACTATATCTTTTTTAATGAAATTTTTTTAAATTTTCAAATAAAAATAACTTAGCAAAAACTCAACCAAATTTAGTAAAAAAATTTTTTAAATAAATTCTACAAGTTTTTTAATTGGTTTAATTAAATTTAATTAAGTTATTATTAAGTTATTCTTGTTTAAAGTTTTGAAAAAATTTACTTAGAAAAAATATGGTGCGCTTCTACTGACTCACCTCCACATGTTACATACCATATTATACCATCTTAATTTAAATATACTATCAAATTGTTCACGATCAATACTCTTATAATTCTCGTATATTTCTTCTGCCAGATGTGGAATCATTGGTGCTAGTGACCTTGTATATACATTAAGAATCTTTATATTTATATATATGCGGTTAGTAGCAAGAAAATTTGTTAACGAATTTTAATTCTGTTAACAATGATAAAATTAAATCAACACTAGATTTTTTTTTTATGTTAACTCACGTAGTATAAAACAGTTTGAACACTCCTTCTACTAATGCTTAGCGCATGATCAGCATATAATCTGTCTTTTACAATATCAAAGTAGAATGCTGACAATAATACGTTTGTAAAGTTGTTCAATGACTGTACAACTAAATTAAGGAAAACAATCCGATAAAAATGAAAATTGTATTATCTATATTGAAAAATATGAGTTTCTTCCTAAAACAGCTGCTAATGCATACCTTTATTAAATAAGAAATCATCGTAATTTGATTCGACAACTTTTCCAAATTGATAAGTTTCATGTAACATGTATTTATCAATCTATTTAACAAGTAAAATAGTTAGTAAAACTAAAAATTAAATATTTACAACATGATATGACTATGCACTTACTGATTTCAAATCATCATATACTACTAGTTGCTCATGATTAAAATCATTTAAATTGCCCAGCATAAATCTAGCTGTGTTACGATATTTTCTCAAATTTTCACCTACTTGGCCTAATAACAGAATAATAATTTTACACATTTTTCAAAACTTATAGCAAAAACCACATATCGTCGACATATTGATTTAACTACAAACTCATGACAGTTTTTCCAATGCTAACATCTTTAGTATAATCTGAGGATGCGGCCCAAAGTCTCAAAATATCTACACCGTAGGCTGGTTCTTTTTCTCGATTCTATTTTTTTTTAAAAAAAAAAATCAAAATAAATATTAAGTTCGTTAAGTTTAAAAATAATAATAGTAAATGCCAAACCTTTCCACCATTTGTTATTGTCTTAGGATTAACAACGTTTCCCAAAGATTTAGACATTTTACGTCCTTGTTCGTCAAGAACAAATCCATGTGTAATAACAGTAGAAAATGGCGCGGTGTCATTAACAGCGACTTTATAAGTAAATAAATAAATAATAATTATTAGCATAAATAGTATCATTAATTTACATATCAGTAATCTAACGTATGTGCAAACAACACGTCATGATAAAATAATTAAGTTACTTTACTAGAAGTTAATAAAGATGATGTGAACCATCCACGATGCTGGTCAGTTCCTTCAAGATATAAATCAGCGACAGCATTGGAATCTGATCTAATTAACAATTCGAAATAGTATAAAAAATATCCAATTCATAATAAATAAAACACGTATTATCTCGGATAATTCTTAACCTGCCTTTTGAATTTTTCTGATATATAACTCCATGATACACCACTATCAAACCATACATCCATAGTATCCATACCTCGTCGATATTTTAAACCTTTTTAATTATAACAGCGTTAACAACCAAAATTAATTGATATGATTTCATTTAATGATTATATGATAAAAAGAATAAACCACACCATTGTCCCTATACTCTGGTGCTACTAACTCTTTTTCATCAATCTCCCACCATGCATCAGATCCAAACTGTTTTACAATCTCAATTATATGAACTATAGAAGACTCTGTAAATAATGGTAGATTTGTTTCAACGTCATATATAACAGGTATTGGAACAGCCCAAGAACGTTGGCGTGATATGCACCATTCGCTACGCGATAATGTATATATTTCTAAACGATTTCGAGCTTTTATAACGAAAAAAAATTAATAATAAAGAAAAATAAATTGGTAATCATAATTATTCAAATAACAACAAATACCGCTGTCTGGTAAGATCCTGATATCTGCAAGTGATTCAAAGGCTTTTTGCTTGAATGCTTCAACATTAATGAACCATTGTGGAGTAGCTCTATAAATATTTAAAAAATTAATCGATTTATTAACTTGCTATCGAAGTATTTCAAAACCAAACTAAAGACATCCACATATATGTTACCTCAAAATTATAGGCTTTTTGGTTCTCCAATCATAAGGATACTTATGAACAATTTCATGTTCTTTCACTAACAACTTGCTTTCTTTTAAATAATTAATTATAACATCAGTTCCTTCTTTCAGTACATCTTTTCCTTCAAAAGAAGGATCACCAACTTCTGCGGTAAATCTTCCAAGATCATCAACGGGACAAAATGTTGAAATATTTAATTTTTTACATATCTCATAATCTTCAATTCCATGTCCTGGTGCTATGTGAACTAGACCTAATTTTTAAAATTTTTAGTTTTTAGATTTATAATTCTTTAAAGTTGATTTCAAAAGCGAATAGTGTGTTAAAAAAGAAAAGATAATGAAATACCAGTTCCAGAATCGGTTGTTACATAATCAGCATCTACTATTTTATATGGAATTTTAGTAACTGGATGTTTGTAACTTGTACCGATTAAGGTATGTCCTTGGATGAAAAAAAGCGACATTATTTCTTCATGCATTAATATGATTACAGTTTAAATATTAATAAGTTGTAAAGATACCCTCAAAAGTAGCTTTAATGCTCAATTCTGATCCAATGATCTTTTGCAATGCAT